AAACATCAGGAATACATTCTTCTAGAACACAGCCTCACAGCCTGAAAAGCCCACAAAAACCTATGGATGTGGGCGGTGAAAGCCTTCGACTTCACAATCCAAGATATGTTTGTTGATGTTGGTGTTGTGTGCCTTCAAGTCATTTCCAACTTACGGTCATCCTAAAGCATGGTGTTTTCTGGGGCTGACAATGTGTGACTTGCCCAAGGTCACCCAGTGAGTTCCCATGGCTGTAGGGAATTGAACCCTGACCACCAGAGTCATAGGTCCTTTGCAGACTGCCAGAAATAGTGCAAATTAAGTCCACTTTAACTGCCCTGACTCAGTGCTAGGGAATAATGGGAACTGTAGTTTATTGTGGCACCAGAGCTCTCTGACAGAGAAGGCTCAATGTCTCAGAAAAAAATACAATTCCCAGGATTCCCTAGCACTGAGCCAGGGCAGTTAAAATGGATCAATTTGCACTATTTCTAGCAGTCTGCAAAGGCCCTCATTTCAAATTTAAGCAAGAAAACCTGAGCAGATTACCTACCTAACTGACATGGGAGCCAGCTAACCACCACTAATAGTGTGTCACTCTGTCTCATAGTGATGTTGTGGTATCAGAGCTAGCTTGACTGATAGTAAGCAAGATGGTTGTGAATAAGGGTTTGCTTATCACCTCTTTCAGGCAGAGTAAGCAAGTTCATGTTTATTCAGTCCTGGGAAGTACCACTGCTTCTCCCTTCCCCTTGGCAAGGAGGTACAGGAAGGAGAAGTCACTAGGTACTCCTGAGGACCCAGTAGTATAGTTTTTTATTCTGAACTGGGACTACATTACAACTTCATTAATAGTTCATATTGATATATGTGTGGACTTGTCAATAATAGCAGAGCTAGGGTAGTTAGATTGACTGGAGGATTGAACTGGCACTTGGAACATCCTAGTTGTAGTCCCAATGAGTTAGGTAACATGCCGGTTCAGTTTGGACCAATTATCCTCTCTCAACTTGGCCTATCTCATGTTGTGAGATTAAAACTGGGGGGCGGGGAGGAGACCCATGTATGCTGCCTTGAATTTATTGGAGAAAAGATAGGGTATAGCTGTACCTAACAGGTAATTAACTGACTAAGTGATTAACTAATAAATAATACCTGTCCCAGACCCCAGGGAGGAAGCTGACACTCCATGTACACTTCAGCTGGGGAAAAGAGTTATGTATATGATGCATACATGAAGATGTGAAGTATGTATTTTTTGCTTCCCATTGTGGATTCTTGAACTGGTAATGCAAAATTTCCCACTGCTGCCTTTCCCTCTCCTGACCCCTAGTAATGTGGAGAAGGTAAATGTGAGGTGGAAGAAAGAAAGATGGTTTTGAAATTGCACAATGTGGGCAGTAAAATGTGTCTCCATTCTAAATATCTGACATTCTATGCTGCATAGGCCTAATTTGGATTAGTAACTAGACCAAAGTGGCCAAGGTGAGTGAGTGAAAGAGGAGGATTTTACCTGAAGGGAACAGTAGTTGCTGGAGGAACAGACAAAGCAAAGTGAATGGCTATGATTTTGTTTGGTGGTGTTGGCTGTTAATGTGTATTCAACCACAGATCTAAAACAACTTGTAGTTCACATTGGGAACTCTCATAAAAAGCAGAACTACAAGTTCAGTGGTGAAAGTGGTTGAAATGTTATTAGGAATTACTTCATCATGTTTAGCTAGAAATCTGTACCTGTCAAAACCTGCCCAATTTCACCATTGGATTCTCCCCATTTACACAGTGTAATTCATACCTGCCAAATGAAATTTCACCAGAGGGAAATTTGTACTTACAGAGGAACAATCTTCAAGTCCACTGTTCTTCAGTTCAGCAAGATCAGCACTTAGGAAGCTTATTTTAATTGACAAGACATAGGTTAGAAACTCCAAAGTGAAGCAGCAGGTTGGTTCAAAAACCTAAAGGTAGCAATACTGAAAGTAATATCATTGTGCATTCAACAGAACATGTAGATCAAGTATTTGTGAGTGCATCTTTTCTTATCAATTCTTTTATCACACAGAAGGAAGGATTGAAGATATGATATATTTACTATAAGTGCTATAATGCAGTTCCTTTGTAAGATGAAAACAAGTCATGTCTGCCTGTTGAACAGGTCAGATGTGATGGGCATGGTTGCAGAAACATCAAAAAGTTTGAACCCCTTGATCCATATGATAAGAAACATTCAACAAGTTACTGAAGGTGCAGGGCTAAGAAACTTGAGTTTACTTTTCATCTGTGAATATAATGATCAAACTAGACAATAGCTTCAGTATGTTTTCTGTAGAGGTGTAGAAAATATAGGTTTCTCATGGCACTTGATTATCCTTCCCTATTTAACTTGAATTTAATATACTTTGTTTTGTGACTTTTTATTGTAAGATAAAAAAGACTTAATTTCCATATCCATTTGCTTCAACACATGTTGTTGTGTGCCTTAAAATCCTTTCTGACTTACGTTGACACTAAGGCAAACCCATCACAGTGTTTTCTTGGCAAGATCTGTTGAGTCAGTGTTTGTGTCATGGCCAGCCAGGCTGAGGACATGGAGGACTCAGAGGATGAGGAGACTGAGCCAGGTCCTGGCTTTGCTCTGCCAGTTCCAGTGGAGTTGGCTGAGCCTAGACCTGGCTCTGTTGTACCCACTGAAGCACAGCCTCTTCCTCAGTAGCCTAGCTTCCCCCCAGCAGAAAGCCTCCCTCCAGCAGAGGTTCCAGGCCTGGGAGATATAGAGGAGCAGGACGAGAAGGTATCTATGTTTAGACAGAGAAGGACAGAAAGGGCATGCCTCTGGCGTTCTCTGAGATTATATGAGAAACGCTCTGCTAAGTCCAAACAGTTGTGATTGAGAGCTGGGCAATATAAATAGCTGGGAG